AACATGACCATGATGGACCGTGATGGGCCAAGATGTTTCTAGGAACCTTCTCCAGACCAAGAGCTTTCCAACGGTATCTTTGGATTCCAAATTGGTCGAGCGGTTTGGCCAAACATTAGCGACATACATACAAACTATTCAGTTTTATATATATAGATTATATATATAGGGGTGAGGGGATAACGTATGACAGAAATGGAGAAACGTATGACAAGAATGGGAAAACGTATGACAAGAAATGGGAAAACGTATGACAGAAAATGGAAAAACGTATGACAGAAAATGGGAAAACGTATGACAAAAATGGGAAAACGTATGACAAAAATGGGTGGAAACGTATGACAAAAAATGGGAAATCGTATGACACCAAATCGGAAAACGTATGACAGAAATAGGAAAAAATATGACAGAAAATGGAAAATTCGTATGACAATTGATAAAAGAATTAAAAAATGGTATTTTTAGTGGTCTCAACAGAAAATTTTCTCTATCTCTTTCTCTAAATATCAAAGATTGAGTATTTTTCATAGACTTTCTATTGAAAAAAGTAGAGAATGTTTTCAATTGGTGAGCAACAATTTTTACGAAGACATCAATTCGACTTTTTTTGTCATTAAAATGAAAATCTCAAAAAATTACGAGTCAAACATACTCTAATTTATCAAAATTTAAGTCGGCCAAAATACATATGCGGCTCTCAATCTCATAGATATTAAGAATTGATATCAAACGTATTTTTTTACGTATAAAATATGCTTTTTATCGCTCTTATCCCTACTGACTCTTTTCTTTTTTATTGTCGGTTGCTTGTTCGGAGCGAGAGCGGATAGAATTAAAGGCTGTTATCTATTATTCATTGATTGAAAAAAGCAAATGTAGTTAAAAAGAATTTGTACCAACATTAGATTTGAAATATATATATTATTCGTAATTAATTTAATAATTAAATAAATAAGTTTTGAGATGAAAGAAAGGTTTGATTTTCGCGCGCGATTTCTGCTCCACCAGTATTATTTTGTCTGGGATATACCATGCCTGGGTTTCCGCAACTGAAGAAGGATTCTCCATCTCTTTCTAACACGCCATTTGGGGAGTCAGAATGAAAAAAGGCAATAAAATGGTACACATAATGGGACTTTCAATCGCGCCGTACTCGTTTCAGTCCTATGATGTGTACCATTTTATTGTCTTTTTTCATTCTGACTATCTTCTGTGTCCCTCTTGTGTTCATTTTCAGTTTAAGACACCAATTGATGGGGTGTGCGTTCAACTGTAGTCGCTGAAGTACATATACACGAAAATGATATGGCTCCTTTGAGTTTGTATATATATGATACTTGATACGAAAACAAATAAACAATCTAATGAATGAATTCGCACACAGTAAGATGACCTATCACAATTCTACTTGCAAATGTTCGACGTATTTCGCAACGTTACAGCAACTTTTCAAAGTTCCCATTTATCATGTACATTAATGGCACCGAGACACTAACTGGTGCTAGCAAATGTACTACAAGCACTGTATATAAATATGTACTTTTTCACTTCAACATTGCAAAAGAGAGTAACGTTCACAAAGAATTTCTCATTTCAAGGAGTTTCGAACATTTTAATTTGTCTTTTATGTCAATCAGATCTTTTTTTTTGTTAGAAATACATTTTTTAACGTTGTCATACTTATTCCTATTTTCTGTCATACGATTTCCTATTACTGTCATACGTTTTCCAAATTGCTGACATACGATTTCCCATTTTTTGTCATACGTTTCCACCCATTTTTGTCATACGTTTTCCCATTTTTGTCATACGTTTTCCCATTTTCTGTCATACGTTTTCCCATTTTCTGTCATACGTTTTCCAATTTCTTGTCATGCGTTTACCCATTCTTGTCATACGTTTCCCCATTTCTGTCATATGATATCAATTTATCCATAAATAAATAACTTCTCGGCTTTGTATACAAAAATCAGTTTTTCTTCACCAAAAGTTCAATTGTCATGGTGGTTTCGAATACATTGTTCAAGCCGAATATTCATATCAAATCTCACATCAGATTCATTGAAGACGGTCTATGAAACTCGAAGCATAAAGCCGAAATTGAAAATTTTCAATAATTTGAATTATTGGAGACATAAAAATTAAAAGAAAAGGAAATCTATGGGTGAGATTGAGAGTGGAGTATGTTTTTTCTTCGATTTATATTTTTGAAAAGGCGAGTATGTTTTCTGATGATTCTGTTGGCGTTAAATTAGAGTATGTTGTAGTACCGTCTAGCCTCCGCGGTCTTCATGGTTTTAGCGCAACTGATAAAAGATAACAACATGGTGTCTTCGGCAAAGTTGTAGTACTTGAGGTTTTCTATAACTAAGCTGAAGACAGTTATCTCTTATCAGTTGCGCGCAAATCGCGCACATAAAAAAGCAAATTTTATATAGAACTTTTTTTTTCTTATCATTTTTCGCGCTTTTCGCGGAACTGATAAGAGATAAGAGATAACTGTCATCAGTGATGTTATAGAAGACCTCGAGTGCTACAACTTTGCCGAAGACAACAAGTTGTTATCTCTTATCAGTTCCGCGGAAACCGTGAAAAACCGCGAGGACCCGCTAAAAACGAACATACTCGCTTTTAACCATTTTTAAGTCGACAGAAACTTGCTCTTCTCTTTCGTAACAAAGTCAATCAAACATACACTACTCTCAATCTCACCCATAGAAATAATCTGTTTGTTTTGATGAATGATGAGTCGAACAAACGATTGAGAATAAAATATCAATCAGAAATTGAACGAAAATGTAAAAAAAAAATGTCAAAATGTTCCGTAAAATTCAAATGTTTTTCATTCAAAACCCACCCGTTCTACTTATTAAGCCTTCGTTTATCTTAAAATTTATCTAAAATATGACAATAGATAATTGGAAAAATATGAAGAAAAGATAAAGATAAGATAAATCCGCAAAATGAATTTTTCATCTAGATAAGATAAAAGATAATATCTTATCTATCTTGTCTGGTTATCTCATCTTAAGATATTATCTCAACCAAACACTGTTTGCAGCCAACATAGATCTGCCTAAACCGACGTAAAACTTCTAGTCAATTTATCCATCGGTATAAATTGAGTGACGACTTTTGCTGTCCTTGAGTCTCCAATTAAATTGTAAAACTGAACGCTTCACATAGCCTTTGTCCTTTTGGAAACGTTTACCAAAGGTTATTTTGGACCGTTTTCTATCTGACTACTATCAAGTATTTCCATCCAGGTTTTTAACGAAGCGAGAACTGAAAGTTGTACTAAATCGGTGTAAATGATTATTATTTAAATTGATGTAACAGTCTTGCACTCTTTTCCGGCCAAACACTTATTTAAACTTCATTATATTCAGCCAGAGCTTGGCGGTGTTAAATAAAATAAATAAATAAATAAAAGATGAACTTCAAAATAAGCAGCAAGAAGTATCTCACCAAGCAAGGTGTGCGCGATAGGAAAGCGGAGAAATGGACATGGAATTTCAAGATGTTTGGACGGAATGATCGGGAGGACCGGACTCGATACGCACGAATGCCGTCGCCGAAAGGCAGTAATTGGAGAGATTACATCACTCATCGCATTGCGAATTTTGAAGAAAGCCAAACAAGCGTACACCATCGAAAAATACACCCGTTTACCTACATTTTGGCAAGTATATCGAATCGATTCGAGTAAGCGACAAAATTGAAATTGATTTTTTTTCTGTTTCAAATTCAAACTAGAGAATGTTCTTATTGTTTTCTCAATAGACAAATCGCAAACCGAGCCTCATTCACATTGGATCTATGGACATCGTGTCCAATTCGCCGATCAAGATGAAGAAACACGTTCGAGAACCAGGTACTCGTAAATTGTTGAGAAGTTTCAAGAAAATGGAGGGAAATGTCATACGATGGGTCCATGAAAACAGAACATTGCGAGTATGTGCAAGACGTTTCACACCATTTCCGTTGAAGACTTTGCATGATCGCACAAGCGAAATTTGCGATCAGAGTGACGAGCGATGCGCGAATATGCAGAGCAGAATCCAAATCAAGCCGATGGTTTTGTGTCTAAGGTAATCACCCTCAATCGAATACTATGAAAACTGGCAACAAAATGCGGCGAACGATGCGGATGAGTATGCTGAAGGGTGCAGAGGTGTTATCAACCTTGGCGGAGGTATCATCGAGTTGACTGAAGATTATGATCCAGACGAGCAACTGTACTTTTCATACCTGAGTACTATTTGGCATCGTGAAATTTCGGCTGCAAAGCTGATTTTGTACAAAGGTATGCTATTCATTAAATTGAAATTGGTGTTTGAACAATGGAGTGAAATATTGTGAGAATAATGTTGTTGTTTGTGTGTTTGTTTTTCTTTCTCTTTGCAGGACATTGTCAAGTCTTCGGTTATGACCTGCATCGTGTGTTCACCGACGCACAAATCGAGTGTCCGCGAGAATAAGATTGAGAATAGAGAATAGTGGACGTTTTAGTGCCCCAGCAATCATCGACAAAGCTTATTAACGTACATAGATTGATAATAACACCTTCATCGATGGCTATCTGTATTCTATAGTCTACATAGTATATGGATAATTCCTGTAGGTGAATGTCACAATTTATTAGCATATTGAATATTGATTCATAATCATTTCTATATCATTCTAATTGATTTATGATAATTTAAATTAATAAGACTTCTTATTTTGATGTAAAAAGCAGAATATATTTGCAAACATTTTCGATAAGTTTACTTATCATCTTCAGGCTCCACAACAAACTGATTAACAATTAACCTAATTATTATTAACTAATTGATTTGTTTTCACTGTTTTTTCTACTTCCATTGTGATGTTAAAAATGAATTAAACTACACACAAATGCGGGCCCAAATTCAACCGTTTACATACGCTTGGTAATGGATGTATTTGCATTAACAATTGCTCCTTGGGTATATTCCAAATGAGTAGATATATATTCATGAAATTTTACACTGAAATTTTATTTGATTTTGACGGACTTTGTACTAGTAGACAAAATAGAAAAGTGTTTAATTACTTCAATGTTTCAATTATGATTTACAGAAATGATTATTCGGAATTATCGTAAACACATTTTTTTTCGAAATTTCGCACTGCGATAGCGTTCCAACAATAATAATATCAAAACTGAAATGAATGATGAAAATGATGATTTCCTAGAGGGCTTACAATTTTTGAATTTTTTTTATAGATCGTTTGAATTAAAATATGAATTCTCCGATTGAATTTTAATTTGTTTCTGGTAATATTATCAACTTTTTTTTCGAAATACATAACCGCTCCATGATGGCTGGACTATTGAGTAACTGCGTCTTTTTAACCACTTTCAAGTCTGGTAGTTTGATATGAACCTGTTAATGGAAAAATGATAGTTTGTTTCCATAAATTGTTCGAAAAAAAAAACTTACTTTGATTGGGGATGTCTCATCGCCTCCCCAAATCGGGTTGTTCCAATATGGTGAAATCTAAAAGTAACCAGATAATTCTCTATTGAAACACTTGACAAATTTAATGTTATTGGCATATAGGTGGATTGCTTACTGGTGGTGTGTCCGGCTTTGGTGGACAGCCATAGCTTTTTCGTTCGCAGTCCTTTGTTTTTGAGGAGTTAAAAACTGAACAGCTTTCATTACCAATTTTTGTGTCTGAAATGAGAAAATCTTCCAATGATGAATAAATTCCTGTAACTTCCATTCGATTGTAACTTACTATTACAACAAATAGAATCATATTCCTCATCTTCTTCCTGAAACATATTTTCCGAACTTAATTCCACACTCTTTTGACTTGTATCAATAGATTCGATGGACTCGTTAATTTTATTGGGCTTAAAAGTGATCTTTGTTCCAAAAAAACTACTATTCATAGAAGGTGGAATAGCCGATACGTCAAATGTTGGATAAGTATTTGCTTCTAAAGAACCCGCCATACCACAAGATAACGATTGAGACTGAACTGAATTTTGCAATGCCAATGATGTAGCTCCCGGAAAGGCCGAATCGAAATTTGAAAAAACATTGTTGTTGTTGTTATCGTTTAGATAGTCGGCCTTGTATACTGAGAAAGAGGTTGAGGTTAATGAACAAATTTTTTTCCCTAACAAAAGATGATATACTCACGTATACACTGTGAATTTACTGAAACTTCATTACGGGTAGCAGAAGTTTTTGAAATATTCATTACAAAAACGTCTGGAAATGCTTCGATAAATGAATTTAAATTTGGATAGCCTAAAATTAATGAATCATTAGGATAAATTTATATGTTTTTGAATATTTTGTAGATAAAGTTTCAACTGACCGAAAGGAAAGCATGATTTAATCGATAGTTTCAGAGAATGATGTATGTCATTCAATTTTACTGTTCTCTCTCCAATGAAATCTATTAAATTCACAAGAAAAATCATCAATTTGGTCATCTTGACGCATTTAAAATTGTTCATCTGCTGAATCTGTATGGGAAAAAGTCATATAGAGACAATAAATATTGACATTGAGCGATTTCTGTTTAATATCATTACTTCAATTGCGTGCTTCATCGTCCTTATTAAATGTTCGTCGACAATATCGTTATATCTACCAGCAAACATTTGTATAAAATCCGATAGTGGTAAAGCCTGTCGTTTATCTTCCACTAATAAATGTACTGCAGCATAACATTTATTGCGGAAAATCTGGTCGTCGTGATGACATTTGATGTTTATGAGTCCCATAGATGAAATGACCTAATTCAAAATGTGTTAAAAGTGGGAATATTTTTTAATTTTTTCGAACAATTTCAAATATAAATAAAATTGAAAATATTTCCGTCCGTCTGTCCCTTAAATTCCACTATAACTTTGATTTTTTTTAAATTCTTCGCTTTGTTGTTATGCGTGCCGTTTATTTTTCTTGCGGTCCAGGAAAGAACATAGGATATGCAGTCAGTTTTGATTTTCGATTTAAATTCTAGAAGTAGGCACTAGGCCTAATCGTATCAATATTCGGTTTTGTTGATTGTAATTCATATCATACGAGCACAAAATATTTAGTTTATTCGGCGCGAAATTTAATGTTAGTGGTTCAGGTGGTGTAGTAAACTACATGCATCGTACACGAACCAAAAATGAACAATACTGAGTTGTCATCACATAACTGTATTCGAAAGGGCAATGAGAAAAATGCAGAATCAGCATTTCGCTTGATGTTTCATATGAGTAGTTCGGAGCGAAAATGTCATACAGAAATGTTGCGCGGATAAATGTCACAAATAAAAGAGCCGTTCGGTGTCAAAGCTAGCATAGCTGTTCTTCTTGATAACAAAAAGCTTCTCCATTTGACAAAAAATCGAGGGGCAAATCACTCAAAATAGTAATTGCAAAATTTAGCAGTAATTGCACGAGAAAAAAGTAGCTGCGAAAGTAATTGTTGATCAGCAATTACTACATTTTTCTTGCAATTACCAATGCAATTACTTCTTTTTAATGCAATTACTTTTGAGTGATCTGCCCCTCGCAAAAAATAGCTTCTCCAATTGATGAATTCTCTATATGTGACATTTTTCCGCGCAACATTTCTGTATGACATTTTCGTTCCAAACTACTCATATATCACTGGGAGGCAAAGTCCAATTCGATTCGAAATCGCAGAGGAAAACGTTTGACAGCAGATTTGAAATCACACCCAGTGATGCCATCGCCACGAGGTTTCACAGTATTTGTTGTACATTTCACATCGCTTGATAATGTTACAAAGAGGCATGGCTGCGTATACAACTCGCCAATATGCTCGGTTTCGCATGACGAATCGTAGGCCAACCATTTTCTCTATGGGTGCCGTGGGAATTTCACCAGATTCGCCAATTCGCATAAATAGACATGTTCACTGTCTGGGAACTCGTAGATTGGTGAAAGCTATTCGGAAACAAGGGGATTGTGTCGTTCGATACGTGGCAGCACCATAAACATCGCAAACACGTGCAACATGCTTACAGCGAAAATGTCAGTAAAACCATTTCCACCGTATTTAGACTGAAATTTGCAAGGGGCAAATCACTACTGAAAAGACTGAAAGCACTGAAATCCACTGAAAAGAAGTGAAAAATATTTTCAGTATTTTTCAGTGTTTTTCAGTATCAAAATAGATCGGGATTTTTGACAGTTGAAATTTGTTTTGACAGATCTGCCATCCATTCATTTTTCTCCTCGAAAGATAATGCCATTTTCAGTACTTTCATATGAATGTCCGAGAATGAAAACGCAACTTCTATTCACAACACATATAAGTGAAACAAAAATAAAAAATTTATTGAAATGAAACAACAAAATCGAATTTTTTCAAAGTGTAACAACAAAAAAGATTTTTTTAAAGTGTAACATTGGTATGTTGTTACACTTTAAAAAAATCTTTTTTGTTGTTACACTTTGAAAAAAT